CTGACAAAGGTTCCAAACATTGTGGAGGGAGTGTGTGTGAACAAACATCCACAGTTGTTAGGATGCCTGGGTCGTTGACCCAGGGTTTTGAGTTTATTATATTATTTATCATTTCTAGTCTTTGGTTTCTTTGAGTTCTGTCTTATGGTTTATGTCTCTGTGTTCTCTAGTTGCTCTGTCTCCCCTGACAGCTGTATCCCCTTGTCAAGTTCTCGTCTCTGTGTTATGTTTCCTGTTTTACTTTCTAAGTCCGTGTCTCATGTAAATGCATCTGATTTTGCTTCCTTTGTCTCGTTAGTCCTGATTTGCCCCAGCTATGTTTCCCTCCTGTTACCCATTCCCTGATTGCTCCCTCTGTGTATTTAAGCCCTGTGTTTCTCTGTCTCCGTGTCGCAATCTACCCTTATCTAGCTGTGTGTTCTGGCTGTGTAAGTGTATTTTGTATTCCTAGTTTTGTTACACTTTTGAGTAGTGATGGGCAGATGAAGCTTCATGAAGCACTGAAGCTTTTCATCCAATTGGTTCACCCCAGCGCAAAGTGTCTTGAAGCTTCATTTGCTCTAGTAGGACATCTACTGGATGTAAAAATATTAGTTGGCATGAATTTGAAGACTGTGGCCTTTTGCACACAGCCTGTAAATGTCAACAACAAAAGGAGTGTGTAAAACATCTATATTGTAGTGATGGCAGTATACTGTGTATATTTATACTGGCAGTATGGAAAATGATCATTTGGAAATGCTTAAAATGGAAATGATCATTTACAGTGAGGTGAGGTGTGGTTGGGGTGTGGACAGTGGTTGTGCTTTTGTAACGTTGAGGTATTGACAGCTACACACTGAAGCTTTGAGCCTCAGTCCCGCCCACATTTTATTCTGTAAAAACTAAATTTTCACTGCTTTTACGACCTTTTTAGTGGGGAGAACATAGCTAGGATTTAACGATTTAACAAATCTTTTAAATCCTTTGTCCTCCACAATGCTAAATGGCTGGGAGTCCTCCATCACCATGCTAACCAGGTCTTCATCTATTTGAGATTGTTTTCCTGAGGAAAGACAACAAAAAAAACAAAAAAAAAAAAAACAAAAAAAAAAACTAATAAAAGTGGAAAAAAATGGTAAAACAATTAAGAAAAATAACGCAAGCTATATTATCATGGCATTTGATGGTTCACCTGGTCTTGCTCCACAATCGGTGT